CCCAAAACCCCAAAACCCCAAAACCCCGTGAAAGGATATAATAACAAATTTGAGAGCAAGCATAATAAAAATGAATTAAATAAGAAATTGATAGAGCTCTAGTTGCAATTGCTTTATAATCTCCTCTTTTATAATTCCACCTTTTATCAGAGCGTAGTCTTTATGGACATGAGTTAAAGATTTTATTTTAAGGTTTGCTAACTTTATCTGACAAATCCAGAAATCTGATTCTATATCAATCTGTTACAACCTTACTGATTTAGAGATAATCTTTGATAATCTGTTTGAGACATTATATAAGCTTCTCAGTTACCATTGCCCTTTAGATAATTTTCAGTGCATATAGTTTGAATTTATTCATAGCTGTCTTATTTGGCTTATCTATATTTTACTGCTTTATTTTGGGAATTATATTTTGATAATTAAAGCTACATCAAAGGTACTACATTTCTGAATCTATTTGAATTTTTAGATTTTTTATGATCACTCTTTTTCTATAATTAATGATTTGCGATAACTAGTTTGTCTATTTTATCTTAATTTTAATGATTTGAAGGTAAAATGTCATTTTAAATTTATTAGCTTGGCTTCTATTCTTGTTCTAATTAAATTGAATGAATATCGAATAATCTTTCTAATTTTTAATCTTTAAATTTCTATTAGATTTTTAGTTAATCATCTTTTTTTGTTAAAACTTAATCTGGAATCTGTTAAATAATCATTTAATTCAACTCAGATTTTTTCTTTTTGCTTAAATTCTTATTTTTTTGATTGAAACTTAATCTTTTTCTTTTTTTCCTGATATTATTATGCAATGGTTGATTCATTAAAGCTATATCATTTGTCAAGATTTGATTCAGATCAATTAGAGCATTTTCAGTACCTAAGTTATTAACATTATCTTATTATTTCTTCATATTATTCTATCCTTGACCAAATAAGGTAGCACTATTATTTTCTTAAACTGCTGTTCCAGATTTTTATGAATATATTATAGTTTTTGCTTGACATTTCTTCCATATTATATCTTTTACTCTAAGTAGAGTTTAAATAGCTATAACAAAGGTATTTGTCAATATATCAAATAGAACAATGAAAACGATTGCCCAGCCTAGATTGTACTCCAATGTAGCATTATCATTGAACTCATTAAAAATTAGGAAGTGATATATAACTATAAGCCCGCAAATTTCATTGAATATTTCCAGGCTATTATTCCCTCTATTCTAGAAAGGCTAAACATGAACAACATAAACAAGGTTTAATAAACTTAGATGCATCAAAGAAAAAATCTAAACAGTTGGCTATGTTGGTAATAGGCATAAAATTAATGCTATTAATATTCTTCTAGCAATTAATAATGATTGATAGTGAAGAGCTAACTTTGAATCTATTCGAAGTCCTTAGTAGATTTCATTAAATCTTTAAGCATTCTTTCCAAATCTTATATGATTTTGAGCTTTAAACTATCTTTTATTATTCGTTTCAAGTTAAGTAATCTAGCTTGCGTTTTAGATTAAGTCAATCTAAGACTCAATCAATGTTTATTTCTGTGTATTAATTCTATTGGAATCAACTGATTCAACATTAATTTTATTTCGAAGATAAATTTCTGGAATCACAAGTTTTTAGTTGATAATAATAATAGAAAATAACAATATTATTAGCGCAAGAGAAAATAAAAAAGAGAATACTTCACTTGGACTACCATCTATTACTGGCTATAAATATAAAAACACAAAAGCATACATCTAAGATATTTAGTAAGGAACAGATTCCATACTGAATAGAGCTTTCAATTATTAATCTTATCATCACATTAAAATAAAGAAAGTCTTTGACTTTTTAGCTGAATTTCTGGAGACTAGATCAATGTTAAATATTTAATCTCATACATTTTACAATAGCTCATTAATTTCAACAGAGCAAAAGCTATTATTTAAATAAAAACAACTAACCAAAAATAATAAAATTAGCCATCCATACTTTTAATCACATTCTATGACTCATATCTTGATTGAGTTAATTTAATCTAAAAACATAAATGAAGCTTAAAAGATATCATATTGCTCAAATTAGTAATTAAAAGCACTTCCTTCTTATATACTAAATATTTAATCTGTGAGGAAGGAGACATCTGCCACTTTGAAATTGAACAAATTTGTTAATTCTTAAAATATCAGCTAGGCATTATTTGGAAGTTAGGTTTCTATCAATGGTAATATAAGTATCTGTTAAAGTTAGTTAATCATCCCCCATACATTTTACAAACCAACCTGGCTATTTAATTTAACAAAATAATTAACTTACAAAATCATATTAATAATTGCATTTCCAAAAATTTAGACCTGAATTACTGATTGAAATTATTCTATTTTACTTATCAATTAAGCATCTATAAATGACTTTAACTTTCTAGTATGAATATCAACTATATTACCTAAGCTATTAATTTGTCGAGGAATTAACTTTCTCATCGTATATGATTTCGGAATCTTAGATTTACCATCTTTAGTTGCAAATATTTGATTCTTAAGAAATTTAATGATAAGCTCATCCTTTTTCTAATAGGAAAATTAATGCTAGAATTTATACTGGATAAGAAACCTAGATTTCATCTACAAATTTCAACTATAAAATGAGGGTTTTATCAGTGAAAGAGATAGCTTTCCAAGTAAAGAATGCAAAATCTTAGTTTTCCGATTATTTTTCTATTTCAATTTTTAACACATTTTCATTAAAATTCTTGTAATCAGCTAAGACGTTTATGAGTTTGTTGAATTAAATGGATACCACTCCAAAGGGACTTATTGATCTTATTATTGCTTTTAATTCTCCAGCATCTAAAATATTTAACTAAAACTAATACTTATCACATACTTAGTAAAATTGGAGACTAAATGGTAGTGTCAATTGGATTCATTTGAATTTAGTCTAAATAATTCTGATAATTCTTGAATTCTTAAACTATAAAATTTTTAAATATAATTAGTCATACCAGATATTGGATCATTAAGATTCAATTCTACTTTTATGTTGATGATTTATTATATTTTGAACGATACATCGCAATTTGAGCAATCAGTAATGGTCTTCCACCTAGCTTGGTCTGAAGTAGCTTAAAGTTAGTGTTCTCCGACATGATTACCATGAGGTGAAATTATCGCAGAAGTAATATTTTTTATTATAAAATCCCTGTCATTGTAATTTTTGTGAGTTAAGTCTATAGAATTTATCTAAAGAGGCTAAATTAGTTCTAAGTCACTTGGAAGATTATATTCAACTGATTATCCCGTTTTTATTGTGATTTGAATATCTATAAGTTTTATTCTTAATTTGAGAAAAATATGTTTAAATACTTTAAAGTCTTAATGCATCTTGAGAAACTGTTTGTTTGGCCTCCTTCTTAATTGCTATATTTAAAATTATCTTTTTACTTATTAACAATTTTTCCTCGTCCCAAATTTCTCTAAATTTAAGTTATTAAAATATTTTACCCTGTTATTTCAATATTGTATGAACCTGCAACTGATTCAGGTTTAATGACTATTGAATAAGTTAGATTATCCAGTGAAGTTTCTACAAAATCTGGTAAAATCCCAGCCAAATACTTGACAGAATATCCACAATTAGGTGTTTATACAAAAGGATTAATGATCACAGTTTCACTGTTAGCTTATCCATGCTTATATATATAGGAACTTTTAGGTACTTAGCCAAATAAACTCTCTACATTACATTTTATCTAAACTTAAAAATTAGTAGAGGCTTCTCTGTAGCCATTTAAGTAATATCCTTTAAGATCTACTGAATAATTTTTAATCATAGCTTGATTTTGAGTCTAAACAACAATCTCTTTGAGATTTTAATCAAATATTATAGGTATTGGAACTAGACCATTAAAATCTCCCGAATTTAACTCATACATGAAATCACCACAATCAGACATATTCTTCGAAAACTCAGTAATCTACTATTCAAAATGTGATTCTGATAGGTAATAGATTATATTCTAAACAGGATAAGAAGTCACACTTACATAAACACACTTATCAATTATCTCAATTGTAAAATTAGACCATTGCTAAGTTTGAGCGTTTCTAGTAAATTTTCCAATAATAGACATATAGTATGTACCAGCTTTTGTCATATCATTTGTAAATATAACGATAGTATTGTTGCTTGTTCCATTGTTAAAAGATATAAAGGATTAATCGTATCCTTGATAATCCTAAGTTGTCAAAAAGTATATTATTGGATAAACTGTTGATGTTGTGAAATTCGGAAGTTATTAAACTTATAATTGATTCCCAGTCATATATTCTATATTTGGTATAGTTGAAGCAACTAGGTTTGCTCCTTCAGATGAGATTAAAGTTAATTAGAAAATAGTCTATATCGTTTAAGAATCAATTTTTCCAATCAATTTAATGTCATGATTGCCAGGCAATCGATAGTTAGAAGTCTGTACTGACATTATAAATGACTACAAATTAAAACTGATCATACTTTTAACACCTGGATCATTTGTATCAAAGGAATATATTATTGTCACATCCGAACATTAAGAATCAAGTAGAGTGAATGGTTCAAGTGGAAAAGAAAGCACATCTGAATCAAACAAGTAAATTTTATCTGTAGGAGAAGAAGTTTGGACTCTGTAGTTATTGCAACATGAATTTTTGTGATACACAGGATCTTTCAAGACATCAGTGATTTAAGTTAAAACTCATATTATTTCCCAATCCGATTGCGTTTTTACCATCTCTGCCAAAGAAAAAATTTGGCTTTATTAAAGAGTTAGTTATCCAGTATAATTTTAATATTGATTAGAATTATAAAAGCATGAAATCTCGTTATTAGAATTTCCAATCATTCCAATATAAAATTATTAAGATGAGCATGTTCCATATTATTTTACTTTTCCTGCAAAATATACTTAGTTACCAGTTTTAATGAAAGCATCATAGATTAACAAATAGTTAGCAGTATTATCGTTTAGAAAAATTGAGAAATAGGTAGCTGTATCATTTGAGAAAATTTAAACTTTGAATATACTATACTGTGTCTCCTTTAATACCATGAATATTGTATCTAAATCAGTTGATTTTAATCCTCTTACTTCTTCTTAATAAAGGATGGAGTACTAGAAACCGATATGTCAATTATAAGTCTTATTTGTATTTAAGATTACTTTATTAAAAGATATTTCGTATCTGCTATTTGAAGTACTATAAGAATTACATGTAAAGAATAAGATTAGAGCACTAGTTGGGCAAGTAGATACTTAATCTATCTATTAAACTGAAACATCACTTTTTAGCATCCACCTAGGTATTATACCGATCGATTGAATTAATGAACCCCTTTAATCAGGGTTATTGATATCGTTAAAAGTGAGACCATTTCCAGCTAAATAAAATTCTCCGTCAATACTTTAATCAAAATCGTATGGCAGCAAAACTGGGTTGTATACTCTTGTAGCATCTATTTTCATTTATTCAGAAATTGCTTATAATTGATTTTCAATATCGAATTCAATTATAGCAAATCCATTTGTTTTTATAGCATACTACATAATCATTTTATGAGAACTATCATATTTTCAAAAATCAATATAAAAGTATGATAAGGGTCCATCATATTTGCTTTTCAAGGCCTTATAAAGAGAACCATCATTTACGTTAAGAACAATTATTAGAAAATATTCTTTCGAATCAATTAGTGCAATCTCACATACCACAATATAATTTTAAGATGGATGAAATTTCACTTAAATCATTTATGTTGTGACCTAATCTATCTATTTAGCCCATTTATAAAGGTTTACTAAATCATTAAGCTCTGTAAGTGCGACAAATCCATTGTTGATTTAGGTTACAAATGAATTATCTGATGAATAGCCAGAAACTGCTAATAAATTTTCATTACTTGACAAATCCATTGATTTCACCACTGTATCAGAGGACTATCCACCAATAAAAAGAGGAATTTTTCTATTTCTACACTCTGATTGAATCTGATAATATTAAATACCAAAATCTATATTTACAGCTATGTTTATTAAGTAGCCCCAAATGATTATTTATAAGGTAATCATCTTTATATATTTAAATGAGCTTTTAATTATTATAAAATTTAATTTCTTCCATTTTATATACTATTCTTGCCTTAGGGGTTTTGGGGTTTTGGGGTTTTGGGGTTTTGGGG